CATTCTTGAACGATTTACCCACCTTTGTTTACTTGAAGTATTTCGTAGGATTCTTCATTAGTATAAATAGGGTTCTGGAGACTTTTATTGTTACTGTTATGAATAACGAAGATTATAAAAAAAGAATTCAAAGCGATATTTTTCAAAATGATAAATTTCATCTAAATATACTGCTGAAATAATGGCAAATATTTTTTAAAAGTTTATACCTTGCTTTTTCCTCTTCGTTTTTTTCTGAAATATAAAAATGGCATATAAACTTAATTACAATGTACAAATATAGTTGAAGTACATGTGTATAACAATATTTGTTGAAGTACATGTGTATAACACGATGTGTTCGTGAAACACTGATGCCCTCATGACAGCTGATGGTAAGGGTTGACTTCTCTCAAATGCATGTCAAATTTCCAAAGGTCAGAATGTCAAAAATTTTTAAACAATGGGTCAAACTCTTAGGTCAAAGTCAAAATGTCAAAAATATTTACACCAGCTGAAAAGTCTTGTCACAATGAATACACATGTGAAGTATAAAAGCCCTACATGTAGCTTCAACTGTTCAAAAGTTATGGCCAAGGATAGAGTATTGTATTTTTTTTGTAAAAGTAGGTCAAACTCCAAGGCCGAGAGGTCAAATGTGGTTGTACCCAATTGTCACAAGGAATACACCTGTGAAAATGAAAGCCATAGTCCCATCCAATTAGTAGTTAATGGCTAGATTAAAGTTGACAACAGACAGACAGAGAGACAAATTGACAAACAGATAAAGATATAAACAGACAGACAAGAAAAAACAATATACCACAGGGATCTCTCGATCCGGGGGCATAAAATAAAATGTAGCTTTTATGATTCACTGGTTATCGCACAAAGTGAATCTCGTTATCTTAATATTATTTGTGATCTTTAAAGAAGTGTAGACGTTTTTTCAATCTCCTTTTCCTTTTAGCCTGTATTGAATGGCTCACCAGAATTTCCACAAGAGCAAACGTTTCCTTTTCTTCTTCTAATACACTGTATGAGGAATACAGAGCTTAAAGCAATGATAATGGTCGAAAGTAACCCGGTAGTTGTTCCAAAAGCTGTAGCTGGTATACATTGAGGGTCTTCAACAAATCCTGCTGCAGCTGTTATTTCTTGGGATTCTTTCTGGGGTTTAGCTTAGGAATTTGATGCAAAAAAAAATTTTAATATTTAATTTGACTTGGAAAAGTAACATTTTATTCTTATTTTGATTGATACTATATATGTATAATATATAAATACATGTACATTTTTGTGAAAGCAATGCATTTCATTTTTGCATGATATATATATTAAATATTTGTCCAAATAAAAGATACTGATTCAAAAATCATTTGAAAATACATCATAACCATATTGTAAACTTTAATCACTTGAAAAGACGCACAAAATTATAAATTATATCATTTCTATAATTCTTACAATAAACGGTGATTGTCATTGGATCCGAAAATTTGTCGTATACATAGATAGAGGAGGATATGCCTCTACATCTGCAAAGCATTCCATTGTGTCGTGCAGTTACTTTGATTTCTAAGTAAGTCTCTTTTCCTAAGTCCACTCCATTTTGGGGAGGCAGATCGTCACAAATCCATCTCCATGATATTGGTGGATATCCCATTGTTGTGAGATTACACTTGATGTTAATGTTCTCACCGCTCTGCACAGTTGTAGTAGATAAAGGATAGATCCTTGGTCGTGTCCGAGGTGAATCTTACAAAAGTCAACATAATTACCAAATTCTATTTAAAAATTCCATGCTCCATATTCAGTGATGAAAGTAATTTATTATTTTCATTTGAAATATACAACCTAATTTCTAAACATTGCCCGATGACCACGTAAAGTTTTACTCAATAAATCTTTCTGTGCACATAAACATAAGTTTAATAATGAGTATTGGCAAAAAAATAATAATAATAAAATTAAATAAAATGAAATTTAAAAAAATATTGCCAGTATGGTCTTTCTTAATGCAAGCAACATGTTTAAAAAGTAAAAATATAATTTTAAGGTTCTTCCTTGATTTATACGTAAAACAGGAAGATTTTTATTCAGTGCATTTCAAGTTATATGTGTAAAAAATAAAATACATATATTCGGGCTAATTTCAAATGGATTTTTTGTAACTTTAACTTTATTGTTCTAACATTCTGAAGCATACTTATAGGAAAAGCCAATGTCATCGTATTTCACGAGTTACTTCAAGTTTGGGGACAAAACAACCACGCTGTGGCAAAATCAACTTCAAATAATTAATACTCAGGTGTTTGTAAAGATAAAGCAAGAATTATAATTATTTATTAATTTAAATAAAGGACGTATTTATATAAATTTATATTATTTTTTGTTTGTAGTTGACATTGGGGTGTGATTGTATTTGTGTAGGTAAAATTAAGTGATTAACAATAATATGACGCAAACGCATACTTACAATAAACACGCATCATATAACGAGAACTAGATGGGTAGTCGTAAAATAACACAGTTGAGTGTGATTTCGCTCTGCAATAGCAAGATTTCCCGTCATGATTCCTGGTCGCCGTAAAATTCATGTAAGTATATCTGCCTGAAAATGTTACACTGGTCATCTGTTCTTCCCCACAATACCATGTCCACGTGATTGGAGGTTCTCCCAAGGGGTATACGTTACACTGGAATTTCATTAAAGCGCCCTCGTAGACATGTCTGACAAAATTGTCAGTGTAGGAATTTATTTTCATGCCCAAATATGGACTTAGACTCGGAGGTGATGATGGGATAGCTGCAATTTAACAAATACTTATACTGCTTTAATTGTATGGTTAAGGTAAAAGGGAAGACTTTGTCTGCAGTTTATCGTTCATTGATTTTTTAAAAACGGCTTTTATTTTAAGTGCAAATGCACATAGTGCACTTGAAAAATTATGAGAGTTTTAAGAGAAAAGATATCCTTTTCTCCCTTTGGTAATAGCAAGGAATGAAAGGGTTCATGTTTGTAAATGAAGATGTTCTGATATACATGTCTGTATATGTTCTGATAGCAAGGAAGTAAACCAGATTCAAGCATCGAAGTTAATTGAATTGCTGTCTTAAAAGCGTCATCTTTCTCTTATACTGATTTCTGTACAAAATATTTTTAATGTAATGTGACTTTATCTTGCGCGTAGTGGTTATTTCGACGTGTGCAAGGACAAAGAAACTGCCATGCAGGGATGTCCGCGCTAAAACTTAAAGTTAGCCTCTTCTTGAAAATACTCGGTATATGATTGATTGATTTCATATTGTTTAACGCCAAGTCGGCAATATTTCAGCCATATTTCGGCGGAAAATACTCGGTATAATAAGTCATCAAAAATATGTATATTTCCAACCGAAAATGTATATAATACATAGGAAGAAACAATTAATGGACAACACTTTTAAATTAATTAGCTATTACTATAGTACATGCATTTATTATGGAAGCTGAATCAACAAGCTAATTTTAAATCTGCCACAAGAAAAGGAATTGATATATGATGTTGATACTTATTTTGCACAAATGAAATTGAAATTCCTCAGAATTTTTAAAATTTTTAAAACTGTATCAATTGCATAATTAAATTACCATTTAAATTAATTAATGATACACATTCAATAGACAAAATGTCTTTAAAATCATTGAAGAAGTGATAGAAAATTACCATGATCACCAATACTTCAATAACGATATAAACAATTCACAAATTTAGAAAAATATACATATGCTATTTTTTGAATAATGTGAAGCTCTTTCATGTTTTAGATGAATTGAAATCATGGATTTGTCTAAGTGCATTCTTTACATGCATGTTAAATTACAAAGTTATAGAACTCCCGCTTGACATGCACAATACTGAACAAAAAGACAACACCCTCATAAAGAAATTATCATCAATGATATATATTGAAATGAGTCTGATTAACAGTTAACTTACTGTCAGACATTACTGTAGAGGAGATCCAAAAGATCCATATTAACGCCAGGTAAATCATCTTGTGCAAATAATACTGATATTATTGAAATGTTACTTTAACTCATTTAAATAAGCCTATGCTGTTTATGCAGGAAGAAAAACCTTTCATTTGATTTGTAAAAACATTATACAATAATCAAGAGACGGCGTCAACCTAAAAAGTAAACAGCAGGTAGTTGCTTTACCTTACCCGAGCAAACTACGGCCAGAATGTACGATGGTCTGTCCTGATACTTCAGGCAATGGTTGTATGATATTGTTTCTTAGCTTATTAAAATACTGAACAGAGAGAGTAAAACATTATCGTAAAATGAATTTATCAAACCCCAGTCGCAGTTTACGGAACACTGTTTGTTTATTGTGAAAGACAAAGGCAAGGTTCCTGTCTATAATACAGAATTTATAAGAACCCTTGAGTAGATTAGATGATATCAACCAGGTAATATTCTGGTAAGTTTAACCCATCAAGCCAACTTTTTTAAAGATGAAACATATGGAGATATCAAAAGTATTCAAGTTCAAAATTCCATTCAAACAGTGCAAATCAGGAGAAGAACAAACATGGACCTCTTAAACATCCTAATTTTTTCCTGAAATAAGTTTACTTCTTTCAGAACAGAAACTGAAAATCTTCAAAGTTGAAGCTTTATACTGAAGGACACAAAAATAAAAACAAGAAGCAATAAGTCCCCTGTTGATTCAGGTAACCTTACAATTAATACATATTGTCGGAGAACTTCATCTAGAGTATTATTGGTAAATTTTGGGTCTATATCAGGCACTTGTTGTAAACGAGAAAACACACAAGTGGACACATAATACTACTAAACAAAAAATAAGACATCTATATATACAACATCTGAGACACTTTTTTACTCTAGATATTTTCCTATATTTTGCACGCAAATGCATTAGGTTTCAATTTAATAGTTATATTGATTAAACCGAGTTTTAAAAGCCCTTCATATACTTGCACCGATAGGATCTATATGTTGCAGTTTTTTTTTAAGACTCTAGCATGTCTCCTTTGCACCTCATCGCGAGCTTGTTCATTTTGTCCTTCGTGGATTCCAGGGTTCCTCGGACTCATTTCTTGATTAAAGGTAAATCATAATGTCTGACGTATAAACTGAAATTATTTCATTAATTTAGGTTTTTGAATGCTAAAATTGATAAGATAAATGTAAATCGAAGTTGTATGGTACAATAATTCAAAAGATATTTATATTAAAAAAAATGTTTGTATTTGTTGATGGAAATGGTATATTAAGGAGGAAACAGTTGTTTTATACTGCTAAAGAATCTGAAGTTTTTCATGATATTCTGCGATAAGTTTGTCTATTACCACTTAACAAGCGCGTATTCATACTTCCTTAGCATTTGAAAATTTAGTTTTTATATTCAGGATGTTCTTGTTTGAGTTCTCTGATAAAACAAAAGTTAAATTTTCCAAATAAGGTCATGTAAAAGAATCTTTGAGAAAACTTCCTTGGAAATGGCGCCATGAGAAAACATCATATAAAGTGAAAACTCCGCTTACAATCGGGGTTGACGTTGTGTCCAGTTACAAATTAAGGGCAGACTCAGTTGAAATCGAAGGGATCTTTAACACTAGTAAGTCAAATCATAGATTATATCTATTCTGCTTGATTAAGAATAAATCTGCTCTTTAAATCAGGAGTGCAAGTTTGATTAGAGATAATCACAAAAAGATATAGATATTACCTACATAAAAAAGAAAGGAGAGTGTATAAATGTATCACATTATAGGCCACTTTCAATTCCGTGATTGTGCTGCTATTATGAAGAGAACTCCAGAAGTGCAAGGAAAAGATGGAGTGTATACTATATACCCTGACGGCAGGACAGAGAAGCGAGTATTCTGTGACAAGACGACAGAAGGAGGAGGCTGGACGGTATTCTTATTGATGTTATCTATTTTTAAAAAAAATGTTGTGTATTTTTTCTATAAACAAAGCATTACAACTTTGAATGATTGTGCCGTTAGTTGGATTGATCGTTTAACACCCTCTGCCTAAGTAAGTAAAACATGTACCTTATTACACCAATTTTTCAAAAAAATGGTCATATAATATTGTGAAAAAAAAACTTCCCAATCGCGAAAGACAGACACTATCAAAATTATCTATTCAACTGACATGACTATCCTCGGAATTATTATCAATATCAGGGAATTAAAAGTATATAATTTACTCCGTTAAAAATTCAGGTCATTCAACGACGAAAATACGGCATCACTGATTTTTATCGATCGTGGGCGGAATACAAGAGAGGATTCGGAGGAGCAAAAACAGATTACTGGTTAGGTAAGTTTTCTACTGAGCACAGGGAGTCGGTGGTAGAGAAAAAATGCTGCTATATATTTATACTCCAATCTAAAAAATTAATATCCTGATTTCAAGGGAAAAAATAAATAAAAAGATGCATACTGGACAAATAAACTTTTTTTAAAATCACGAACTGGTAAATGTGATATATTCTATGAACAATTTTTTGCAACTAATCTAAGGAAATGACGCAATTCACTCACTGACGTCACTAGCAGCAGAGGAACTACGTATAGACCTTGTAGACTTTTCAGGTTCTAAAGCATTTGCTAGATATTCTAAGTTTGTAATTGCCAGTGAGAAGGATAAATTCAAACTGTCAGTAGGTGGATACAGTGGCAATGCAGGTAACTTTATAGTTAAAGAAAAACAAAGCATTACAACATGGGTTTCGACCAAAGATTCCGTCTAATTGATCAAAATTGTCATTAAAATTAGCTTTTTCTTGACAAACATCTAGATATTATTGAGATGATAATGATGATTTTCATTCATTTCTAAAGGGGACGGTTTAAAATATCACAACGGCTATACCTTTTCTACGAAAGACAAATATGCAAAAGAAAATTGTGCTAAAGGTTTCGAGGAGCATGGTGGTATGACAATTGTTACTATTCAAATTTAAACGGACCATTTCGCACATCCGCTTTGAAAACTTTTGAGGCCATAGTATGGAGATCTTGGAGAGATAAAACAGCCCTTAAATCAACAAGGATGATGATTCGTCCAAAGAAATAAATTGTCAAAGCAGCTGATTGAAAGCCTCGGAGAACAGAAATAAAGATTAAAAATCAAAGTGAGACATTTATTTATTGCAATTTATTTTAGAATCTGAAGTGAAAAACTGAAAACTGAAAATGGTTTTTAATACTAGAAAGATATTTATCAATCCCATCCAATTACAACCCTCAGTGGTCAAGTGACAGAATACTATAAAATCACATATTTTCGTGGGGTCAAATTTTCGTGTTTTGAGGGAAAAATCTTGGTTCGTGGGGATGTGATTTCGTGTATGTAGAATTGTCCAGTGGTTGTATTAAGGAATCACTGTCTAGTTTGTATAGTATGCCAGGGCATCAATGCTAGTGGGAAACATGGGATAATTTGCATAACGGGCGAAGCCCGTCATGCGTAAATTATCCCATGTTTCCCATTAGCGTTGATGTCCCTGGCATACTATACTAACTAGACAGTGATTCCTTATATTTCCATTTCATTGTGAAATAAAATTGTAGATTAAGACTTTAAAAATGTAGACATAGACTTAAATTACACGAGGACTTCCATGCCAATTTCAATAGTCCTCGCCCACTGACGTCAAACGCATTGGCAGTCGCACGAGATTTACATGCATATTTGGCATCTTTAGCGTCAGACACAGAGACAGATGAGCACGAGATTTGCATGCATATTAGGCCTCCTTAGCTCCTGACCTATCGACCTGCCTAATTTACATTCCGGCAGAAATATCAAGAAATAAACTCCGACAACTTTCAAAGAGTTATCACAGAGAAAGAAAATAGAAATGGAAATATGTCATATTTCACATTTGGGGACATGAATTCGTGGGTCTCTTCACACTTTTAAAACAACGAAAATTAAACAACCACGAAAATTTGTGATTTCACTCGCTTCTTAACGAGGCCGGGTCTAATTTGAGTGCACATATCTAATTTGAGTGCGCATGACTTTTGCGCAGCTTTTTAATTTCATGCAGTCATAATCGCGACAGTACACCTTTCCCAAATATTGTAATTTCAATATAATTGAACATTATCTGTCACGCCTACTGGTCTGAAAATGTGATTTACGTCAAAAATTTAGAAAAAACACTGAAATGGCTCTAATAACGTCACTGTTTTCTGATTTTGCAAGCAATGCACGACGCTGAGGAATGACACATGATTCTCTTGTATGTTCGCAGACGTCCATGGATATTATACTAAAAACTGTTAACAGAACACCAAAGAAAGCATATTGCTATTTTTACCCCAAAAATTATCAGCACTGATATGTATTTATACGATAATAAGGCAATTTTAGAGGTGTAAGGCATCAAAAAATAAAATTTGTAATTAATACCTAGACCAAACTACATGTAGATGGTCAACTTTTTTGAAATTTCACAATTTGTTGACTTTTTACAATAGCTTTCATCTACTTCTCTAGGGCAGAAATACAAAAAAATATGGAAAAAATGTGATAATCCCTGTAGGATCCAATAGTAAAATTTGAACACTTTTGAGATGGCCCCCTAAGAAATCGGGTTGGTAAATATTCGATTTTTTAATCTGAAAACAATAAATATAACAGTAAAAATTAATTAACGAAAAATTATCAAAATCCCTTGTGTAGAAATAATTAGACTCGGCCTCGTTAAGTCTTATCATAAAGAAAGATGCTGAACACTGCCTCATGTCCCAACGGGGGAATCTAAAGAACACTATCACAATAATGTGCCGTTTGAATTAACCTTCTCAAATATATTTTCAAAAAGATCTAGTAAATATAGATTTATTAAAATATAAATATAAAGACCAAATTTAGTGTCCATTTATTATACCCCCGCTTGAAAAGTGGGAGAATATATAGTGATCGGGATGTCCGTCCGTCTAGCTGTGCGTCCGTCCGTTCGTCTGTAACGCATTGGGGTGCCCATCTTTTATCCGCTACTCCTCTCTCAACATTGTAGGAAATATAACAAGACCTTCACAGTTTCTTTGCTACATAATGCCATTGTGCACCTCCGTATTTACTTTTAGATCGGAAACAAATTTTGGGTTTCCTCCAAAACATGGACATTACCATTCTTTATATAATATGGAAGGGTACCAATCTCTTTTCCGCAGCTCCTCCCATACAACTCATTGAATTTTAATGATACTTTCACAGATTTTTTACTACATAATGCCATTGTGACCTCCTACTTAACCTTTTGATCTGTCACTTATGTCGGGTCTACCAGAGCAAAACATGGATTTTGCCATTATAATCAAAGGGAGGCGAGGAGTATTATTTAATGAACTCAGTGCTCACAGTATCTCAATATTTTTTTTACAGAAATTTATATTTGATATCACATTTATAAATGGGTTTATGCTCTAAAATATGAACACGACATATTTAAGATTAAAACGTTTTTATAGAATTAATATTTGACCCTTTCTATACATGTACATTTTTTATGACTGTATTTGACCATTTTCAACTAAATTCACCTCACAAATACCTAAAAAGAAATTATAAATCAATCAGTTATTCAATAAAATTCATGATTAAAAAATAACTGTTTTTACTATTTGTTGAAAAGGGTCCACCCTAACTCCAGAATCCCTGATTTCACTTTTAAAAGAGACACTCTTGCACATTATAATGTGCTTAGTTTTTATCTTAAATACTTAGGAGTAGAGGAGAATATTTTCAAAGAATAATGCATTTTTTTTTAAATATGATCTGCTGCATGAGCTTCTTGCTGACACTAGAACCCCTGACCTAAGGGTCAAGAACTTCAGTAGTTTTTTTAACAGTGGTTAACGGTACTTGGACACAGATTTGAAGTAAATATTTTCTCTATAATATTACGACTTATATATTTTAATAGCGTTTCACACAAAAATTAATTAAAAATCTTATTTCATTTAAAAGTTATTAAAACTTCAAATTTTTTGGCGGGTTTGATTGTAACAACATTGTCTTCGTTTGTAAGACTCATTACATAAATTGCATTCTAGAAGAACTTGGATATAATTCTACTAGTGGTAATTCTACTTATACTCATACTTCCCTTTCTAAGGAAGAAATTCTTCAAAATCACCTGTCAGTTTTGAATACTTTTAATATCCCACAGAGTCAAAATAAATTTGAACTACCTTATATATATTGGATTCCGAAACTTCATAAGAATCCTTACAATCAAAGATACATTGCAGGTTCCAGTAAATGTTCAACCAAGTCTCTTTCGTTACTCCTCACAAAAATATTGACAATAGTGAAGGAAAAACTTCAAGAGTACTGTGCAACTATATATTCAAGAAATGGTGTGAATCAGATGTGGAACTGATACTAAAAAATTCTAAAGAACTTTTGGACAATTTGAAATCACAAGACTTTACAAAAATCAACAGCTTAAAAACTTACAACTTTTCAACTTTATACACAACAATTCCCCACGATAAATTAAAATCCAGGCATTTTGATATCATTGACAGCTGCTTCTTCAATAAAAATTGGACTCGTAAATTTACTTACCTCGTCATTGGTCATTTGCAAAATTATTTTGTTAAAACAGATTCTGATTGCACACATAAGTACTCTGAAGTTGACATCAAGAAGATGCTTGAGTTTCTGAATGACAATATCTACGTGATATTTGGAGACCAGGTATGCCAACAATCTATTGGCATTCCCATGGGTACAAATTGCGCTCCGTTATTAGCAGACTTATTTTCATATTCATATGTAGCAGAATTTATGCAAAATCTTATGCGTGAAAAGAAGAAAATACTTGCTGTGGCCTTCAACTCGACATTTAGATATATCGACGACGTATTGTCAATTAATGATGATATCCTGGTGAGCTTGAGATAAAAGATACCACAGAGTCCGACACTTCTATTTCATACTTGGATATTTTACTTGAAAAAGACACTAATGGTAATCTAACAACCGAGCTATATGATAAACGCGATGACTTTAACTTTTCTATTGTCAACTTCCCTTAATTATGCAGCAGTATACCTTCATCACCTGCATACGGAGTATACATATCTCAGTTGTTTCGATACGCAAGAGCATGCTCTACGTATGAACAATTTCTAAAACGAGGTGAATTATTGACCAGCAAGTTGATGAAACAAGAATATCAGCAGTCTCGTTTAAAGTCATCATTTCGTAAGTTCTATGGTCGATACAATGACCTTGTCAACAAATACAATTTATCACTGAGTCAAATGCTGACTGACGTTTTTCATACCAATTGTTAGTCCATTATTTAAACACTGAATTGACGACGGATTTCCTCCGTTATTTCCTGATCATGACAAGGAGCATACGGCGGGTGTGACCGGTCAGCAGGGGATGCTCACTCCTACATGGCACTTGATCCCACCTCTGATGTTTCGGGGTCCTTGTTTGCTCTGCTCTTATTTTGTATTGTTTTATGGACTTTGAGATTGAATACTGTTCGTAATCTCCATATCCTTCAGATAGCAATATTAAATACTGATTGATTGATTGATTGATTGTATATTGTTTAACGTCCCTCTCGAGAATTTTTCACTCATATGGAAACGCCACCATTTGCCGGTGGAGAGCTGCAAATTTTGTCCTTTACTCGGCACTCAGGGCCATTGAGCAGAGAGGGATCTTTTTCGTGCCGGCACCTACTGTGACACGGGACCTCGGTTTATACGGTCTCATCCGAAGGACCGGTCTCCACGTCCCGTAGTGGGATTCGAACCCGCGACGTAAGGATTGACTCCTTACTTCGCGACTCTAGAGCAGACGCTCTAACCACTGCCCACGCGGGCGACTATTAAATACTGATAATTTGTCTGCAGAGACAGTTGCTGTAACCGGACCGACAGCATCCAAAAATGATTGCTTTTATCTACATTCTTTTATATTTATATTTTATTTAATTGTTAATTTCGTTAATCTTTCTGATGAATTTAGCGCCTTTGAAAATTAGTGTGCTTGATAGACATATGGTCTGTTGTGTCTTTGGAAAGTTAAATAAAGCAAATGTATATTTTGAGGGGAAAAAACAAATCAATATACCATTCTACAATAACTAAAGAGGATGATTGTTTTAAACAAAAGTGGGCAAAAATAATAAAACTTTGTTTCCCAATGCTCCTAGTTCCTACTGTGCACTCTACCGGCCTGTGAAAAATTCTCGCCGATGTGAATGTCGTAGATTTCCTATCGGTTTGATAAAGAAAATAACACTCACTGTGATTATTGATCACATTTTTGATCAATTATCAATTATTGATCACTTTTTTCGATAGTCAGAGCCTTTGTATTTCTAATAATCCATCCCCAATATGTAAATTTTGGAAATACATTTAAATATACAAATAATATTTCCACCTACAATCAAAAAGTCTTACCTAATGTTTGAGGAAAATAAATTATAACAGTTAAATATATAACTTCAAATAGCCTTTGTACATATGTTTTGGTTCGGAGCGCCACACTAGCGGCCCGAAGTAAAGAAGGTTATTATTTTGATGCTTTAAGCCCAACCTCTCAGGCATCAATTTCAATATAAAATGGCATATCTTTCTTTACTTCATATAAAGTACTAGTGCAAATGAAAACTCCTTGAAATAGTTTTGTGAATTTCATAGCATAGTTTACTTACTTCATACATAATATTTGTTATGTACTAAGTATTAAAGATTTATTTTACAGTGTATACTAGTATATGAATTAAAAGCAACTTTTTAAGTACAAATATCACCATCAACATTTTGAACGAAATCTGCTTTATCAACATACTCTTGTGAAGGAACTAAACAAATAGTAAAGATGATTGATGTTTTTCATGTTAGTAATCTGTACACGAAACATGAACTACAAAATTATCCACAGCGCAAAAATATGCAAATTATGGGCCATATAACTTTATAAAAAAGAAATGCAATCAAAATATATTACAGCTAAGGTACCAAAATCTGAAATCCAAGCGCCTGAAGAAAAAAATAACATTCATTGCATAACCACAAAACCAATGCAAATCAACATCAGTAAGAACAGAATTCTTACATGAGATTTTTCTATAGTCTGAAAAAAAGAAACACAAAATTAATTGCTGTTTGAATTAATTGTAACGAATTGCTTTATACATTGAAAAGAAAAACTGTAATATTAAAGAAATATTTTCAAGAAAACCACTCCTTGTGGATCTCGACTTCATAATAAGTATCTCATACGTGTGTCTTTACTTCATATATAAGAGTCAATTAGAAATTAAGATATCATAAATGAATCTGTATCTAGAATGCTTAATAAATATATCCTTCTTAATGTTCTTATTATCTTATCTTTTTTATTATCTACATGTATCTTTTTATTTGTGTAATTCCATAAGCCAAAGTTGGGTAGAATATTACCTCTCTCTGTTAGCTTTCAGCACTTCGTAGGTTTGATCGATATCGTTGACATATGTAGGATTTCGTTGACTGCTGTTTTCACTTAATTAAAAACAAATGTTTTGAAAATTCAATTATATAAAATAATAATCACAGTATTAGAATAGTATTTCTGAGAATTTTAAATACAAAAATACAAGCAGATTAAATTAGACATACCTTGTTTTCCCGTCTATTGTCTTTCCTGAAATTCATTGTTGAATAAATTTCAATGCCTCATTAAAATGTTTTGAAGAAAATATGGTTTGTTCATTACATTACATTTCTATTTGTACATTGTAAAATAATTTTTATAAAAGATAAATAAAGTTATAAAGTTATTTATTTAAAAAAGATACGAATCAAACTATTTCTTTAGATAAAATTTAGAGAAACATGAAGTTTATATATATATATATATATATATATATATATATATATATATATATATATATATATATATATATATATATATATATATATATATATATATATATTATTTTTATCATTTATTACTAGCTCTCTGATTGGCTCAAACTTGATCACATGATTTAGTATATAACAGCATAAAGACTTGAGTTACTATTTATAGAATCTGAAATGCATATCGACTTGAGGTGTCTTAAAATGGAGGTAATTTCCGTGAAACAAAAAAGTACTGTATTCAATCAAAGCTAATACAGTGTATGATTTAATGTTTCTACATGTTCTAGAAAAAAAAAATTATTTCAACTTTTACTAACTTTTTTTCAATGTTCTGTATTTGATGAGACAAAAGAAGGCATTGGATTAGGATAACTTCATATTAATTAAAACATATTCGATATGTGTGTCAAATATTGATACAAAACTTAATCAAATAAATGAAGTATTCTGAATAAGTAAATCGTCTAAATCACTCCATCAATATAAAGGAAACGCATTTACATTAAACGGTGTAATTTTTTTTTTATCTCTAGTCTCTAATTGTTAAAGGGAGAAAACTTTTCCCATTATTTTCATAATTTGTTTTGTCAATCTATGTAAAAAATAATATAACAAATGTAGCCCTTTAATTCGGTCAATCCATAGATATATCGACTTCACAGAAAAGCATATCGACCTCGCACTTCGTGCTCGGTCGATATGCTTTTCTGTGAAGTCGATATATCTATGGATTGACCTCATCAAAGGGCTATATTTATATAATATATATATATATATATAAACACCGAAATTTTCACAAGAACAGAGACCTCCAACTCTGATATACTGTAATACTAGGACGGTGACTAATGCTTATATAATAGTCACTAGTATCCCGGTAATTCTTCCAAAAGCTGTAGCTGATATGCAGTCAGGTTCTTCCCCCCTTTTAGCTAAACAAATTTAAAATTTCATACTTAGTAGTATAAAATTTGGGTCTTTTCAAAATTATGCTTCGGAAATGGACAACACACGAATCATTTAATTTCTTCATAAAATGCCTAATGTGCTTATCTTGTAAAATTACTTTTGTGTTTGTGTGTCTACATTTTTACAATAATTATTCAACCAGAAATTCTAAAAGAAATCTTAAAAATTTTCATTTTGCTTGCCTACAAATAGAACCATTTCCAGCTTAGTTTGGACTTTAGTAAGACGTGGCATTCGCGGTGCTACGTTATAAGCGTCTGTCAAATGGCGAATAGATTTTCATTGGTTAAGAAATAAATAACATCAGGAACTTTAAATTGTTGTTGACAACGATGAGACGACTTAAGCTCCTACCTCGATCTTTGCCGGACGAGACAACATTATTGTTCATTCGATACACTAAATGGCATTTGCCCGAATTTCTATCCCATGTATATTTCAACAGTGAAAGAAAGCTGTATAATTTTCAGAAGCAAATAAAATAACGTCGAGAATGCCACGCCTTACTGAAAGTCCAAACTAACCTGGAAATAGTTCTACTATCTGTATTTTTTGAAAAATATGATTCTTTAACGACGTTCGATCCTGATATTTAAAGTCTTAAACTTTTTTTGCCAAGTATATTTTTAGTTTCTATATACATAGCTTAATTAAAATTCAAATCAAAAAATGGGGGTCAATACGGTTCTTTTGGCGCTACAGTACATTTACTATGACCTTTTTGCACTGAAATTTGTGTCAATTAAAAATTATATTTTTGACGTTTTCCCTCCAATATTTTTATCCAATTAAAGCATGAAACAAAATGAACTTTAAGTTTGTTTAAAAAAAAGACACTTAAAAATTGTGACTAAGAAAAAGTTTTAAATTGCTTCGCATAATCAATTATTTGACCTTTCTGCTCTAATAAAAAGTGATTTTTCTGGCATTGAAAATTTAATAAGCAAGAAAATTATTTTAAAGTCTTAAACTTTTTCTGATTTTAAGCAAATAGACCAAATTTATCTTGAATATTTAGAAAAGAACATCAAAAGCGGGGGTATATGATCTAAATTTTCAGATATTACTAAAAAAAAGTGTCAATTTTACGTTAAAATTGGCTCAATTTTTTCCCAGATTTTCAGAATATATTTACTATATTTGTCCCACTTTATTGATACCATTCTTAAGAAATAATTTAATAGATATTTCAGAACCAGCATAACACATTTAACTGCAAAAAAAAAAAAACAGCTTTTTGTGCAACCAGGAAGGAAAAATAGGAATCCAAAATTAACATTACTGTTATAGTTCAAAATGGAAAAACTGATCATTTTCGCCTAAAAAACCTTCCGCCACAAAATATAGTCCCTATCTTAATTCTACTTGAATGGAATTTAATCGCTGTTTTTTTTCATTGAATATAGTTAAATTTGCACTGTGGAATTCAGATTGAATGTTAGAACTTAAAAATGATGCAGAATTTTATAAATAAAGGACCTGACCAAATTACGCTCAAAATTTATTTGAACTAAAAACATTTGCTCAGTTGTCAATGAGCTAAGAAAAATATCTTAATACAAAAAGTATAGATAGATACGTAAATAGATAGATACGTAAATACTAGTCTTGTGCTTACTTATGCTTTTTTTACAAGAACTAGATGTAAAGTATTTGACAAACCAACAAATCTTACGTAAAACGGTGATCTCCACAGGGTCTGATACCTCGTCATATGTGTACATGTATGCATAGTAAGAAGATGGGGAAGATAGTCCTCTACATCTGCATAACTTTCCATTGTAACGTGCAGTAACTTTGATTTCCACGTACGTCTCTGTTCCTATACTCGTTCCATACTGTGGAACCATGCTGTCACAGATCCAAATAATAATTATTTGTGGAAATCCCAGTGTTGTGAGATTACACTTTATGCTAATGTTCTCACCGCTCTCTACAGTTGTAGGAGACAATGGATAAATAAATGGTCGTGTCCAGGGTCAATCTTGCAAAAGTCAACATTTATTCACTAAATATCAGTGAAATACTATGTTTTTATTGAACGTGTTTTACACTGAATTTATCAAATAACAGCAATTAAATACAATTTTCAAAAACAATAAAGAAAAGAAAAATTTACAATTTGAAATAAGTTGCGATAATAAGAAATATTTTTCAACTACTGGCGATTAATTTTTAATTGTATTGAAAAATAGCATCCTTACGATAAACACGTATCTCGTAGCGATACCGAGAGGCTTCGTCGTAGAATAAAGTAGTAGAACTTGCTCTGCAATAGCAAACTTTTCTGTCGTGCTTCCATGTTGCAGTGAAATTCAAGTATGTTTTCAAGTAGTTGCTTGAAAATGTAACGTTTGTCATGATTTCTCCCCCACAATACCATGTCCACGTAATCGGCGGATTCCCCAGTGAAGGCAAAGAACATCCTAATTTCATTAAAGCGCCTTCATAAATATACATAGAGGAAGAACCTTAAGACATTCCAGAGTAATGGTCTATAATTGGGATTGATGTTGGGATAGCTGCAATATAAATATTCCTGTCATTCAAACATTAAGAAAATGCACCCAAACCCTCAGAATAACAAGAAATAGTAGTCTGCAACATTTCTCTTGTTTTTTAACTTAATGGTGCTTAGACACAGATTTGAAGTTAACATTTTCTCAAATTTTCTGTATAATATCACGACTTATATATTGCAATAGCATTTGGCACGAAATCATAATAAAAATCTTATTTTACCCCCGCTTGAAAAGCGTGAGGATATAATAGTAATCGTTATGTCCGTAGGTCCGTCCGTCTGTCTGTTACGCTTTGGGGTACCCATCTCTTATCCGCAACTCCTCTCATACCACTGAATGAAATTTGATGAAAGTTTCAAAGAATCTTTATTACATATTGCCGTTGTGCATCTCCTATTTTACATTTGATCTAACACATATTTTGGGTTTTGCAAAACAAAACATTGACACTCCCATTATATTCATATGGGAGGCGGGGGTATCATTAGTGAGCTCATTACTCACAGTACCTCTGGTTTCATATCGAAGTTCTTGAAACTTTGAATTTCTGGACGGTTTTGATTGACACATCCTTGCACTTTTGCATACAATGAAAATGAAAAATAAAAATTTTGAGAAAATATTAACTTCCAATCTGTGTCTGTGTGCCTTTAAAGAAATCTTACGTTTTATTCATAATTCGTCGTGTTTGCCGTTTAAAAGAAACACTTTAGCCGTGCTGTTAACACCTGAATTATGGATCGTACAATCTGTATTTTATTCAAAGAAACACGAATTCTTTATCCAATAGAGAATAAGGGGGCAGTTATAGATGAGTTTATCTGTTTCATATATGCCTAAGAAAAAAAAAATGTTAACTAATGAAACAATTTGAGTCATGCATTAAAATCTTACTGATGCTCTTTTTGCTGAGTATCCTTAAGAAGTTGGTAAAATACTGGTAGAATTTCTCTAGATACTAAGCATTAGGGAATAACTATCGTCTAAATTGGTATTTGCGACCACCAAATACTAATTTAGAAGATAGTTATACCCATTCTAATGCAATCTATGGATTTTGTTTGTTGTTTACGTCTTATTTTTTGGAGTTTTGTTACATGAAATACGTCACGGGGCTCTATTATGACGTCACAATGAAAAGCTTTCTGCCTCGTTAATGCTCTTTTACAGCTTCTAACATCAGTGCATTAACCAATGAAAACGTGTTTTACAAAACAATTGCTTTAGAATTAAACTTTAAAATAAAACAATACTGAAAGTTAGAAAGCTCATTGTAAACTACTTTTGAATCGTTGTTATCTCTTAAAATCAGTCGATGAAATTAACACTGTTTTTTTTTTTTTTAAATACTTTTAAAACGTCTCTTGCCAATTTTTTTTACTCATATAATACATCACCAGAACTTCAAATTTAATCGTTTCCGCAGGACCCAAGGCAATTAATTAATAAAGGTTCCTTGGCTTGTCTGTACTTGCCTTGACAAGACGTTTCAGCTTTTAAGGCCTCATGCCAAAGATCTGTTTCTTTCGAACGGGCTAGGTTTAACATTTGAAGACGAACAGGTTGTCACTTAATTTACTCAATTTCGGTTAGATGCAGCAGGGGAATGAACTTCATTTCGACTTAGTATAAGCGTTTTCCTTCTAATTTCTTTTATATCATTTATCATACGTCAACGTTCTAACATTTAAATCAAACGAATATACAGAGCAGTAATAATTGCAGGTAAATGTTGCCCCTACTTTCCTTAGCACCTTGGTATATGATACCTCTATAAATCGGATAAATTGATATTTTTAACATGAAACCAATCAAGAAATGCTCAGAAATGAATATGAGGCCCATGGGTCTCTTGAATTGTATTTCATATAATAAATCCATAACCTCTCTAAAAAGGTAATGATAAAATACGTTCTGTGTAAAATTGAATGTTGGAAAGGTTGTTTTTTGCAAAAATAAATTTTAGCTATAAATAAAATTAGTTATGTAAATGATAATAGAATCTTACCTACAATTAACCGACAAGTTTAAACATTTATTTAGCTGTTATCCATCCTAAAATGAAATAAAACTTACTGTCTGAATTTACAACAGCAAATATGCACAGGATCCAGTACACTTTGAAATCAGTCATTGTCTAAAAACACTTAAAATTGTCTCGGAACGTGTATAAACTGATTTGTTTAATTTTTTCAAATAAAGGAAGTTTGATTTGGTGAAATCTTTTATAATAGAGCAAAACTCGATTATCCATTACGTAACGTAATAGAATGTCTTAAAACACGCATTAAAAAAACTTGGTAAAATTTAATTGTCATCTGGCAAGATGTATTAAAGAAGATTTTTTCGGATATATTGCCTACCCGTTGATGAAAGATACTTGAACAATTTTTGAATCGAAATGGTTGTATAAAGCATATACTATCAAAGAAAGT